ATAGAGGGTGCATACCTCAAAATCATAAAAGCCATTATGAAAAACCCACAGCAAATATCATCCTCAAAACCTGAGAGCTTTCCCCCTAAGGTAAGGAACATGGCAGGGCTGTCCACTATCACCACTGCTATTCAACATAGTACTAGAAGTCCTAGTTTCAGCAATCAGACAACAAAAGGAAATAAAGTGCATCCAAATTGGCAAAGAAGAGGTCAAACTCTCATTCTTTGCAGATGGTATGATACTTTATGTGGAAAACCCAAAGGACTCCACCCCCAAACTGCTAGAACTCATACAGGAATTCAGTAAAGTATCAAGACATAAAATCAATGCACAGAAATCAGTTGCATTTTTATACACCAAGAGCAAGACAGAAGAAAGAGAAATTAAGGAGTTGATCCCATTTACAATTGCACCAAAAACCATAAGATACCTGGGAATAAACCTAAACAAAGAGGTAAATGATCTGTATCAGAAAACTATAGAATAGTCATGAAATAAATTGAGGAAGACACAAATGGAGAAATGTTCCATGATCATAGATTGGAAGAAAAAATATTGTGAAAATGTCTATATACCTAGACCAATCTACCCATTTAATGCAGCCCCTACCAAAATACCATTAACTTTTATCAAAGAAATGGGACAAATAATCTTAAAATTTGTATGGAACCAGAAAAGACACCAAACAACCAGAAGAATGTTAAAAAAGAAAACCAACGCTCATGGCATCACAATTCTGGACTTTAAGGTCTATCACAAAGCTGCAATCATCAAGACAATATGGAACAGGCACAAGAACAGACATATAGATTAATGGAATAGAATAGAGAGCCCAGAAATGGATCCTCAGCTCTATGGTCAATGAATCTTTGATGAAGCAGGAAAGAATGTCTAATGGAAAAAAGATAGTCTCTTCAACAAATGGTATTGGGAGAATTGGACAGCCTCATGAAGAATAATGAAACTGGTTCATTTCCTTACACCACACACAAAAATACACTCAAAATGGATGAAGGCCTAAGTGTGAGACATGCATCCATAAAAATCCTAGAGGAAAACACAGGCAGCAACCTCTTCGACCTCAGCCACAGCAATTTCTTCCTAAAAATATTGCCAAAGCCAAAGGTAGCAGGGGCAAAAATGAACTATCGGGACTTCATTAAGATAAAAAGCTTTTGCATAGCAATGGAAATAGTCAACAAAACCAAATGACAACCAACAGAATGGGAGAAGATATTTGCAAATGACATATCAGATAAAGGGCTAGTACCCAAAATCTATAAAGAGCTTATCAATCTCAACACCCAAAGAACAAATAATTCAGGCAACAAGTGGGCAGAGACATGAAAAGACATTGCTGCAATGAAGACATCCAAATGGCCAACAGACACAAGAAAAAGTGCTCAACATCATTTGGCACCTGGAAAATACAAATCAAACCCTCAATGATATACCACCTCACACCAATCAGAATGGCTAAAATTAACAAGTCAGGAAACGACAGATGTTGGTGAGGATGTGGAGAGAAGGGAACCCTCCTACAGTGTTTGTGGGAATATAAACTGGTGCAGCCACTCTGGAAAACAGTTTGGAGCTTCCTCAAAAAGTTGAAAATAGAGCTACCATACATCCCAGTAATTACACTATTGTGTATTTACCCCAAAGATACAAATGTGGTGATCCAAAGGGGCACATGCACCCCAATGTCCACAGCAGCCAATGTCCACAATAGCCAAACTATGGAAAGAGCCTAGATGTCCTTCAACAGATGAATGGATCTACAATGGAATGGATCTACAATGGAATATTATGCAGCCATCAAAATGAAATCTTGCCATTTGCAATGACATGGATGGAATTAGAAGGTATTATGCTTAGCAAAATAAGTCAGAGAAAGTCAATTATCATATGATCTTGCTGATACGAGGAATTTGAGAAAAAGACATAGGATCATATAGGAAGGTAGGGAAAGGTGAAACAAGACAAAATCAGAGAGGGAGACAAACTGTAAGAGACTCTTAATCTCAGGAAACAGACTGAGGGCTGCTGGAGGACAGTGTGGTGAGAGGGATGGGGTGGCTGTGTTATGGACATTAGGGAGGGTATGTGCTATGGTGAGTGTTGTGAAATTTGTAAGCCTGATGATTCACAGACCTGCAACCCTGGGACAAATAATACATTATATGTTAATAATAAAAAAATGTGTTGCATTTCTATATACTAATAATGAAGCAGCAGAAAGAATAATTAAGAGAACAATCCCATTTATAAGTGTACCAAAAATAATAAGATACTTAGGAATAAACTAACCAAAGAGGTGAAAGACCTATACTCTGACAACTATAAAAAATAGATGACAGAAACTGAAGATGACACAAAGAAATGAAAGATATCCCATGCTCATGGATTGGAAGAACAAATATTGTTAAGATATTTAAAATACCCAAAGCAATCTACACATTAAATGCAATCCCAATCAAAATACCAACACCATTTTTTACAGAACTAGAACAAACACTTATAAAATTTGTATGGAACCACAAAAGACCCCTGATTGCAAAAGTAATGTTTAAGAAGAAAAGCAAAGCTGGAGGTATCACAATTCCAGACTTCAAGTTATATTACAAAGCTGTAATAATCAAAATAGTATGGTACTGCCACAAAAATAGACACATAGATCAATGAAACAGGATAGAAAACCCAGAAAGGTTCCCACAACTATATGGTCAATTAATATTTGAGAAAGCAGGAAAGATTATCTAGTAGGCTTAGGACAGTGTCTTCAACAAATGGTGCTAGGAAAATTGGTCAGCTACATGCAAAAGAATGAAACTGGACCACTTTCTTACACCATATACAAAAATAGATTCAAAGTGGATTAAAGACCTAAATATGAGAATTGAAACCATAAAAATTCCAGAAGAGAGCACAGGCAGTAATGTTACTGACATTGGCCCTAGTAATATTTTTCTAGGTATGTCTTCTGAGATTAGGGAAATAAAAGAAACATTAACTACTGGGACTACTTTAAAAAAAAAACTTCTGCACCATGAAGGAAACAATCCACAAAACTAAAAGGCAATCTACTGAATGGGGGAAATATTTGCAAAAGATGTATCTGATAAAGGGTTAGCATCCAAAATATATAAAGAATGTATATAAATCAACACTCAAAAAACAAATAATCCAATTAAAAATTGAGCACAAAAAATGAAGAGACATTTCTCCAAAGATAACCAGATCACCAACAGACATATAAAATGATGCTTAACATCACTTGTCATCAGGGAAGTGCAAGGCAAAACTACAATGAGATACCACCTCATATTTATCAAAATAACTAAACTCAAAAACACAAAAAAGTATTGGCAAAGATGCGGAGAAAATGGAACCCTCTTGCACTGTTGGTGAGAATGCAAACTGGTGAAGCCACTGTGGAAAACTATGGATGTTCCTCAAAAAGTCAAAAATAGAAACACCTTATGATCCGGCAATAGCAGTACTAGGTATTTACCCCCCAAAAATGTAAGGGGATACTTAAACCCCTATGTTTATAGCAACATTATTTACAATAGCCAAATTATGGAAGTAGCCCAAGTGTCCATTGATAGATGAGTGGATAAAGAAATGAGATATATTACACACACACACACACACACACACACACACACTAGAATATTATTTAGCCATAAAAAATAATGAAATCTTGCCATTTGCAATGACATGGATGGAGCTAGGGAATGTAATACTAAATGAAATGTCTGTCAGACTAAGAAAAATGCCATATGATTTCACTCATGTGTGGGGTTTAAGAACTAAAACAAATAAGGAAAGGAAAGATTGAGAGAAAGAGATAAGCCAAGAAACAGACTCTTAACTATACAGAACATACTGTTAGGTTACCAGAGGGGAGGTGGTGGGAGGGTGGGTGAAACGAGGGATGGGATAAGGAGTACATTTGCTGTGATGAGCACTGGGAGATGTGTGGAATTGTTGAATTACTGTATTGTACACCTGCAACCAATGTAACACTACATGTTAACTATGCTGAAATTAAAATGAAATTTAAAAATTTTAAGAAGTGTTAAAAAATAGTATGTCTTCAGAGCAGTGTTTCCCAAGTCTATCTACACATTGAAATCACCAAGTGTACTGGTCTGTATCCTACTACTACAGATTGTAATTTGATCTGAGGATGTGGTCTGGGCTTTTCAACCTTAAAATTCCAATGTGCAGACAAGTTCAGGTTCCCTGGCTCAAAGGTTTGTTGTGAAGGATTTAAAGCTCACAGAATACATAGTTTACTTTTCCTTGCAAGTGTTGGTTCACAAAGATGGGGACTGGTGAATGAGATAATGTGTCAGGTTCAAGAGAGCTGAGAAATCTTATCTGGGTATCAGTTTCCTCATTTGGTAAACTGACATAACCCCATTTAGGCTACAAAATAGACATGTTTTATAAGCCGTAAAGTACTTCCCAACAGCTTTTGTACATATTCCATTTCACTTCACACTCTACTCCCCACTGCCTTTTACAACAGGGCTCAAGGTAATTTTTCTGACCTTCACTGGTACTGCAAAAATTTAGTAGTAGGAAGTAGACAAGCCTGGAAGATTTCCTGACAAGAAGGCAGGGCAGGGCCTAACTATCCCAGGAGGAATCTAGAGATACAAACCATTTCTCACAAGCAACTCCAAAGTCCCAAGTGCAAGTGAGCCCCAGAGCATTACATGGTCAATGCAGGGCCCACCTACACTGGAAAAATTAGCCTGGAGCTGTGGAAAGGGCATAGGTGATTAAGAGAGTCCTGTGCCCTTTGGCAGTTACTCTTCTTTTTCAATTCCCTTGGCCCCTCTATAAAATGAGGACGGTCATATCTGCTCTCCATAGGACTGAAATGAGGATGAAATGAGCCCAAAGATTGGAAGGTGGTCTACAGAACGGAAATTATAGTGTAGTATTTTATAGCCACTACTCACACCACAACAAAAATAAAGTCACAGAGAAGTCATCCTAAATTTTATTGGCACTGAAATAGAACATGGGTTGAGCATAAATCCTTCCAAAAACAATTTTTAAAAACTCCCAAAAAACACACACAAAAAAACCGAATACAAAATCTAACCTTTCTCCCCAGCCTCCCTGTGGGTGCATTATTGCCCTTAAGGCAGCTAAAGTACCCCACAATTCCAGGTTTGAATTTAGCCAGTATGGGGCCTATCACCAAAAGAGTGTCAATATAATTCACAGCAATGCACATAAGACTCCCCAAAGTCAGGCAGGATGGAGTCAGGGAGGGATTGAAGCCAAGGGCTCTGGGCTAGGGGCACTGCCATGGAGGAACAGTATGACCCTTTGGGGACTGAACTCTGGGGAGAAGGGAAAATTAAAAGAACAATAAAACCAAATACCAAGTACTTTAAAAATGAACTGTATGACCTATAGTGATAGATGACATCACTAATACTGAAAGCTTCTTACAATAATATTTCTGGCAAAATATTCTTTTATAATATAGTATATGCTTCCTAGTATATGCTTCCCCCCATATGTGGGAATGGTAAGGAAATGAGGCCAAAATGATCCTGCCTCAAAACTAATATCTTCTAAGGGTGCACTAGCAAGAAACACAGAAATCAATATTGAATTAGATGCCACTAGAATATATAATACTGGTAGGAAAAAAAAGAGCACACATGAAACAGAGAAGAGGAGGAGGTTGCTCCTGTGTTGAGAAAAAGGGGTTAGAGTGTAGAAGGGACCAGACCAGAGCCCCCAACAGCTCTCTGAAGCCAAGTGTGAACATTTACCCCCACTGGCAAGAGTCCTGGATGGGATGGCTAGGTTTTTGGGTAAACATACCTACTATTCTAGCTGGAGGGAATTTGGGGATTGGAATGGGGAGGGGCAGATCTCAAGAAGGGAGAAACCCAGAATAATAGTAAGGGATACCTCTTCCCATAGAGCTCACTTGAAACAAGCCTAGGCTCCCATAAGGCATTTGGGAGGATCTTCTAAACAGCCCTGCCTGAATAGAATGGGCAATAGTCTTTTAAGATGTTGGTGAAGTCTCTTGAAGATACTGTCTCCTCCGATCTCACTGAATTCCTGAACTCAGGGACAAGACTTAGAAGGATTTTGTAACAGGTCCAATCTGGGAGGTATAGAGAAGAATGACTGACATCTTTTTCACTTCCAATCATTATGAAGCCTAAATAACTCTAGAAGAAATGGACATTGGAAGGTCTAATCCTAAGTTTGCTGATATCCTAGAGCATACACCCAGGGCCCTACCTCCTTCTGTAAACCGTGTGATGCTCTAATTCTGCAAATCACAGGACCCTGAAAAGGAAGGACGTTGTGGGGCAGGGATCGGGGTTAGTTTTCAACTTATATCACGCTTAAGTCCAACAGAACAGTATTGTGTGGGGGTATTTCCCCAATCAAGTGGGAAGTGCCTCTAAGCTACAAAAGTGGTCTCTTCTAGCAATCTAGATTAAAATGGACATAGAGGGAAAAGAGGGTCCAATTGGCACTATAGTGGGCCATTTATTTGCCCAATTAGGTGAGTGAGGGCTGAGGGGCTAGATTTGGTCCCATAGGGGCACTGAAGACTTGGCATGACTCCAGGGCTGCTCTAGTTAGTCGCTTCAGCACAATGTGAGTTAGGCAAGAGTATAGGAGTGTGGGGGCAAGGAAGAAGGGAGGAGGGGTCCTTAGAGGCTTGGTGACCATTACATGGATTCAAATTCATCAATACGCTGCTTAGTATTGCCCTGCCGGATCTGACGCAGGGTTTTGTATTTGTCTCGGCCAAGTCGCATGTTCTCAGCATGGATCATGTCATTGGCAGTCTTCTTGGACTCATCACGGGCATTGGCCAGTTCTGAAGTGAGGGCCTGTGAGGGTGTAAGGGGATGAGGGGTTAATGGCTTGCTCTCACTTTACCTCCTCTTATTTAAGCAGATTCATCAGATTCATTCTCTCTCTGTCTCCCCGCCACTCCACACACATACACACACACACACACACACACACACACACACACACACACACACACACACCTTCACTCCTTTCTTTCTACATACAAACACATACACATATTTTTGAGGGCCATTTTCAGCCCTGTTGGAAATGCAGTGGGGCAAGAATAAAACAAACAATCAAAAAAAGAAAAATCCACAAACTTTGTGGACCAATGGCAGGTATTCTCTGAGAGTAGAAAAATGTACCAAAGATTCAGGTTGAAATTGGGTCAGGGTATTTTCTGGATACAAGAGAAAAATGGAGTATAGGGCAAAAAAACAAAAGGAGGAGGTGGCCCAAGTTCTGACTGATAAGTGATGGGTGCTTATCCTTAAAGCTCTCATTAGAGAAAGGCTCAGACTCCCATACCCCACTGAGACAGGCTCCTCCACCTAACCCAATAATGATATAAGGAATGTACATGGTATCTTTGACCCTCTGGCCCTGTTGGAATACCTTCAGGTGCTTCTGAACACGCTCATTCTTCTCTGCCTCAGTGGTACGTTCCTCCTCACTGCGATCCTTGGCCATGGCATCAGCCCGCAGGTCAGCACTGGCCTCTGCCCCATTCTCATCCTGCTCATCCTGCTCATTCTCAGCCGGCTCAGCTACGTGAGGTGTACTCATGGCAGTCTTCAGCTCAGCACGGGTCTTCTCCAAGTCTTCTTGTACCATCTGAGCCTGTCCGGTAATAGAGGGCAAGAAGAACCAGAAGTCAGATCAGGCTAATTTGTGGCATCCTACAAGTGCATAGAATGGCCCAGCAGGAGGCAGGCACCAGGTAGGCCAAGTCACTTTGTCTGCCTTTAGTTTCTGCATCTGTGTAATAGGAACAATTTACCGACTTCCCTGGTGTATTGGAGAATTCTGGGAAGTATTTGAGAAAGCCTTGAGCTCCTTCTCCCATGATGCCTGCTGTCAAGGAAGGATGGAAAGAATAAGGAGCCCAAATCTGAGGAATCTAAGGAACTGAAACCTACCCTTTATCATAAGGCTTTTACTCTGGGCACTGTGTCTCACCTTCTGCTGCCATTCCACAGCCTCACTTTCCTTCTTCTGTCGAGCCATCTCCAGCTGAGAGATTCGAGCTGTCAATTCTGCCATTTCCAAGGCCTATGGATAAATTGGAAGCTTGTGAGAGCTGAGCCTTCTGGTCTTCAGGACCTAGGTATCTTCAACCCCAGTTCCACTGGGGAACCAATAGGAAACCTGCTGTTCCACTTGCTTGCTATTCGGGAGGCTCTTTTTACTACACCTCCTCCAGGACACCTGGAAGACCACTCCTATTCTCAGATTTACTATTCTTTTTTAACTCCAAATCATTTTGTTAGAAGTCAGAGATCCACACCTAGACTACAGACTTCCTGAACACAAACATGTCATTTCTCTCTTCCTCATCTCTCTCTCCCTCTCCCTCCCTTTCCTTTCTCCCTTCCCCTCTTTCTCTCATGCATACACTATTGCCCACTGCATATTTAGGGCCTTCATAAAGCTTTGGAAATCAATGTGTCACTGTCTGAAGTGCCAGACCCCTTCCTGCTTTCCTGGAATGCTCAGGACTCCACTAAGACTCCTCCCGGGACAAGTATAGGAAAGATGCTATAGTGTCACAAGGCAATCTGAACAAGGGGAAAAAAAAAAAACCTTATGCACACCCTCTCATCTTGGACACATCTATCTTCTAGAGGAAACTTCTCCCTGGTAAATAGGTCTTAGTTCCTGCATTCACACTCCAAACAGTAGAGGGAAAGAACATATATCAAGGAATTTGGGACATGTGTTCTTTACTTTTGAGTCACAGAAGTAATAAAGATGAAAGTAAGGATGCTCACTCTATTCCCCTGAAAAGTGCCTAGATACAGTTTTACATATAATTTTAGTGAACAAATCCTTCAAAGAGAGGCAAAAATGGGTTCTCAGCCTTACCCAGCCACACTGTGTGATCTTTGACAAGTCTCTTAAACCTCCCTGAGTCCTAATTTCCTTAACTGGGCATAGTATCCCATGTGGGTTAATCCCATAGGATTATTGGGAGAGGAAATAAGAAAGTAAGGGAAGAGGAAAAGTTGTTAGCATACTTATAACACACAGTAGGTAGTCAATTAAGTGTAAATTCTTTTGCTTCTTTCCTCCCTCCCTTTCCTTTGTCAGGTCATCAGCTCAGATCCCCAAGGGCTAAGAAAGTAGAATAAAAGTAAGGGTTAGGGAAGACTGCAAAGCTTTCTGGGCCACATCAGTGACTCTGCAGCTTGCTTTTGAATCAACTATCTGCTGGGGACCTGTTGACTAGCACCCTAATGGAAGAAGCCAGCCCTACAGGCAGGGGTAACTGTGAATAGGTAGGCAGACAGGGAAGAAAATTCAGTTACCACAATGCTAGCTCATTTTGTAGCTTTACCAGCTGTTCCTGAGTCTTCTTCTGATCGCGGGAGGCCTGCAACAGGGCTTCCTTGGCCTCTTCAGCTTCTTGACGCTCTTTGGCCAGTTTTTCAGCCTCACTCTGGGCACGCTTCCGCTCCTGTTCAAGCTCCAGGGCCCTGCGGGTCTGTTCTTCTAGTTCTGGAAAGAGAAGAAAGGGGAAAGATAATGAAATATGCAGACATGGAAGGAAACCTAGCTTCCTTCCTGGAAATGCTTCACCCCAGGGCACAGCTGGCAGAAAGCTCTGGGAACTCTTCCTCTTGCCCCGTCTTTCATCTATCTGTAGCCACATATGGATTATATAGCCTGAGTCTGCAGCTCAGGCAGAAGAGCCTCTAGCTCAGAGTTAGGCTCTAGGAAAACCCAGTCTCCAAGGTGACTGACTCTAAGCCTCACCGTGCTGAGCCTTCTTAGTCTGTTCCTCAATTTGCTTCAGCCTCTCCATCAGTTCCTCCTTTTCCCGTTCAATCTTCTCCTTCTCCTTTTCTGCCATCTCACGCTTCTTCTTCTCATTTTCCAGCAAAGCACTAAGGAAAGAGAAAGGATGGAATAGGTCACACCAAAAGGCCCCAAGGTTCTCTGGCCCTGGACCCTCAGCCTTTCCCCGTCTAAGACACTTAGAGCTTGTGAGTTAGGACCACGCTCCCTTATCCCCACATCCTGTCCTTACATCATAGCCCCACATTGGTCAGTACACCCAGGCCTGTCATTTGTTCCAGAGTCAGGATCTAACCTGGACTCCCAGCTCTACTGCTCACCAGTGGGTAACCACTGGGTGAACTTAACTATGCCATTTCTTTGCTCTTGTTCTCAGCACTCCTATCTGTAAAATGGCCTAATAAGTCCTGCCCATCTACCTCATAGTTATAGGGTCAAGTTTTGACTCTGCGTTGGGATACTGTGCTTCAAGTCCACTGAGCTCTATGGCTTCTACAGGCCCTCTAAATCCCAGCCCTAGGCTCTTTTCCCCCAGAATTTGTTGCAAATCTAAAACAAGTATTCACTTTTTTTTTGCCCCAATGCATCTTCTAGGAGGTTGCCTTTTCACCCTGGGCTAGGCACTTTTTCTTTCTCTGGGCCCTCAGAATACTTGACCTATATTCTCCCCATCCCTCCTCTTTATTATTTTTCTCCATAGCACTTTCTCACCAACTCACATACTATATAATTTCCTTATTTGTTCTGTCTCTTTCCATGAGAATGTCAGATTCCTGATAGCAGGGATTTTTGTCTATTTTATTTTTCACTGCTCATTAAATATTTATTGAACAAAAAAATGACAGGGTATTTGTACCTTGAACAGTAATGTATATATTGTTTTTCCTCTTTCTCCTACCAGACTGTAAGATCCTTGAGGGCAGGTTCCTGCCAGATCCAGCTCTGTACACTTCCCCAATCTCAGTAAAATTTTTCTGAATAAATAAGAACTTTGGTGTCTAACCTCTCAAATATGGACTCCTTTTCTAGGCTACTACATTTAGAAGCCTCCTGAGGTTCCAAACTCTTTATGACAGAGTATCTACTACAACACTGTTCTCAAACCTTAACATGCACAGGAATCATCTGGGATCTTATTTTTTAAATAATTTATTGAGGTGAAATTTACATTATAGTAACCACTATAAAGCAAACAATTTGGTGGCATTTAGTACATTCATAATGTACATTCACTGCCTCTATCTAGTTCCAAAACATTTTCATCACTCCAAAGCAAAACCATATACCCATAAGTGAGTTTCCTCTTACCTCTCCCCCCCATTACCCCTAATAACCATCAACCTGCATTCTGCCTCTAAACATTTATCTATTTTGGATATTTCATATAAATGGAATCATATGGTATATGAAATTTTGTGTCTGGTTTCTTTAACTTAGCATTCTGTTATAGAGGTTCATTCACATTGTAATATGTATCAGTACTTTATTCCTTTTTATGGCTGAATACTATTCCATTGTATGGCTATACAATGTGTTTATCTATTCATCTGCTGGCCATTAGGTCTATTTCTACTTTCTGTCTATTGCAAATAGCACTGCTATGAACACTTGTGTACATGTACTGTTTTTTTAAAGATTTTTATTTATTTATTTGACAGACAGAGAACACAAGTAGGCAGAGAGGCAGGCAGAGAGAGGGGGGGAAGCAGGCTCCCTGCTGAGCAGAGAGCCTGATGCCAGGCTCAATCCCATGACCCTGAGATCATGACCTGAGCCAGGCAGAGGCCTCACCGACTGAGCTACCCAGGTGCCCCATATGTACTGTTTTCAATTATTTTGAATATATACCTAGGAGTGGAATTGTGGGATCATATGGTAATTCTATGTTTAACTTTTTGAGAAACCACCAAACTATTTTCCATAGTAGCTGAAACATTTCTACCAGCAATGTACATGAGTCCCAATTTCTCCACATCCTTGACAACAGCTCTTATTTTCTGTATTTATTTATTATATCCATATTAGTGAGTTACCAAGTGGTACCTCACTGTAGTTTTGATTTGCATTTCCTAGTATCTTAATTAAGATGCAGATTCTGAGTTAGAAGGTCTGGAGTAGGGTGTCAGATTCTGCCTTTCTAATAAATTCTCAAGTTGATGTCACTGTTGCTGAGCCTTGCTACACTTTCAGTAACAAGGGAGTTACATAAGGAAAATTCTGGTGGCTCTCCCCAATTCCACTCAGACATCCCTACAGAGTCCATGTTTAAACGTGCATGGAGCTTTCTGCTAATGCCACTACACTGGTCAGATAGCCTGGAGCAACTGAGAATCTGCCTAGAAAAGCAATGGCATGAGGATCAGAGACAATATGGAACTAAGAAATACCCCTCCCCCCATAAGCCTCTAAAATCCTAGGCTTCTGATGTCAGCTTCCTGGGGAAGGTGATGCCTGAGACTTAATAGTAGAGGTGATAACCCTGTACAGCTCGCTCTCTCTCCGCCCATCCCAGGATGGTTCCATGTCTTTCCTTTATCAATCTTAACACTTTTGGGAAGCTTCTTTGCCCTAGCCTCCAACCTCCACTCCAGTGCCACAGAACCTACCGTTCCATCTGTTTCTGGTGCTTCTCCTCCCGGGCCTGTGCCTTCATCTGCTGTACCTCAATGGTGTCAGGCTTGCGGCGGCGCATGTATAGCTCATGGTTCCCCATGCACAGGGCCAAGATACGCTTGTTAATCCTCAGCCGGGGAGCATAGAAGACAAAGTCCTGATAGGAAACCAACAATCAAAATGAGTTTGGAAGGACAGATGAAAATGAGCTTCTGCCTTTTGAAAGCACTGAAAGGGTTATTTATCCCAATTTTCTCATGTTACAGATAAGAAGGTTAATTATCAGAGCAGTGAAGTGACTTGTCCATGGTAACACAGCAGACTAGTGGCAAACCCAGGACTAGAACCCAGACCTCTGGACTCTGAAACCAGTCTTCTTTCCACCAAACCACAATTTCTTTCAACCTTTGCTTATGAAAACATCACATCCTAAAATATCCTCAATCTAATTGAAGGATAGAAACGGAACCTATCTGCTAATTAGGGATCTTGCTAAATCTCAGGGGTCTCTCTTAGAGGCCCAATAATCCCTGTATAATATGCTGGTATATACAATATGGTGGTGGGGGGAGCTGGACTGTTTCTGTATCCTCCTAAAAGCATATCCTAGACACAGCCTCTTAAATCATTTTTGGGATAATGCAAATTGTAAATACATACATAAATACATAAATTTGAACACTGATTGCTCTGGCTGTCATTTAAAAAAAAATAAGCCTTTGATCTCAGCTGTCATTGTTAATTAACTTTTTCCAATGGAAGTTGAACACAGCAGCAATTTAAAAAAAAAGAAGAAAAGGAAAAAACACACACACAAGAATCTAGTTTGCTTATTTGTTACTGTAAATATCATTGGACCAACATTACCAATTAATGAGCTAACTACCAGTTCTTCTGCCATGGAACCCAAATTACTACTGTTTCATATGGCTTAGTGTGTAGTGAAAGGAGCACAGGCTTTAGAAGTCAAATAATGTATATATAAACCCCAGATTTATATTTTTTAGCTGTGTGATCTTGAGCAAATCACTCCAATTCTTTGAACCTTAATTTCCACAAGTATAAAGCAGGTATGCTACTACTTACCTGATAAGGTTGTTGAACATTAAACAAGATAACATATATAAAGTACCTAGCAGCAGAAGTTCAGAGGACTTACAGCTGGAGAAGAATTGTTGAGGCCTCATGAGAAGGGTCTATCTCAGCATGGCCTTTGACCCTTGTTGGACATGAGGTACACCAAAAGATAAGACCTTTTTCTGTTTTCTATCTTACTCTCAATCACCAGCTTTCCAGTCTTATCAACCACAGGCAACTAAGTAAGTGAAAACTGTGGTGAGCATGTTAGAGGAATGCCTGGACCCAAAGCCCTTTCTTGTTCTTGGGTTGCCCTGGAGATAAGTCTTGAGAGGACATCAGTAAAGTTATACCAAAGAGCAAGTTTCGAAGATCATCTTTGGATCTGGACTTCTGGCTCTGTCTATTCTCCGCAATTAAAAATAAATCAAGTATATCAACAGTTTCCCTTTCTGGAGCCTACAGGCTTTTAAAAAAATAAGATGCGCTCTCTGTTTCCACCCCACGGCATCAGGGCAGCAGAAGACAGTGACAGAGAGGAAGTACTTAGACTGCCTGTGGCTCTCCCTCATCTATGTTTCTCCTAACACACATTTGCCAGGGTGGCACCAGCTACAGGATGTCTCCTAGTCATGTCTTGTCATCAATAACCCCTTCCAGGGCCAATCTCCTTTTGTGCCTCCTATTCCTAGCCCCGCACACATACAAAAAAAAAAAAAAAAAATCCAGAAAAATGAGAGAAACATACAATGACATGTTTGCTCCTAGCATTATCCAGGTCTTGGCAAGTACCTGTCTGGTCCAGTAGGAAGAATCACTTACCGGGGCTTTTTTGTCAATGGGCTTGATGACAAATTTCTTGTCATTGAAAGAAATATTTCTGATCTCACTCCAGGGAAAGCCTATCTTGGGAGTCAGTCTGTAGAGAACAACATTAGGACCATGTAAAGACAAGAAGAACATAGAGGGTTGGTGGTTTGCCCTCTGTACCCCCAACTTCTTCCATAAGGAGGTAGATTCATTACTAGCTCAGCCAGTGTTATCACAAGCTACCAGGTCAGTTGCCAGCTTTGAGGGTGCAAAAAGGACCTCCTGACAACCAACTTATTATTTCTTGTCCCAAACTCTGAGGTTTGTTTTACTGTATTCTTTTAATTAAATTTTACTTTTTCAGTGCTCCAAAATTCATTGTTTATGCACCACACCCAGTGCTCCATGCAATACGTGCCCTCCTTAGTAACCACCACTAGGCTCACCCACCCTCACCCGCTCCCTTCCAAAACCCTCAGTTTGTTTCTCAGAGTCCTCAGTTTTACTGTATTTTTTGTTGAGGCAGGAACATTGTGAAAATCTCTCACAAGAATCTCCACCTCTGTTTTACTGGGACTCTTCCACCCAAGGTTGTAACAGTTGGGGAGAATGTAAACAATGAGCTCCAAGATTCAGAAGTTACATGGAACAATCATTTATTACAACCATCCTCACCAAGAACAGACCAAGGGGAAAAATAAGAAAATGAGAAAAGTCTATAGAAAGAGGGAATGTAGGCCAAAAAGCATTTAATCATCATATGGGAGTGGGATTAATTACAAATCCTGACAAGGTTGGTGCTAGGGTAATGCTGTCCAATGGAAAAATAATGAGATTTTAAATTTTCTAGCAGCCACATGTTGGAGGGGAGTTGAGGGAAGGGATAGGGTGGCTAGGTAATGGACATTGGGGAGGGTATGTGCTATGGTGAGCACTGTGAATTGTGTAAGGCTGATGATTCACAGACCTGTACCCTTGAAACAAATAATACATTATACATCAATAAATTTAAAAAAAAGAAAAGAAGTAAAAAAGAAACAGGTGGGAGTAACTATAATAACAGTTCATTTAACCCAACATACCTAAAAGACTATCATTTGAACATATAAATTAATATCTTAGAAAGTATTTAATGAGACATTCATCATTCTATTCTTCACACTAAGTCTTCAAAGTCTTGTGTATAGTTTACACTTACAGTGTATCTCAATTTAAGAGTAGCTGTATTTCAACAGCTTAATAGCCACATGTGGCCAGTGACTACCATAGTGGATGGTGCAAGTCTGGTCAATGCAAGATTTTGAGGCCTGGGAGGTTATGCAATCATTTAGGCTGATCTAAACTAGGTAGAAAAAGGTGGGACCCAGTTGGGACCTAGGAGGTACAGTCCTACTTCATGATGAGTACTAGGTGTCAGAGTGGCCCAAATAAACTAAGAGAAAACTAAGCTATACCTGTCATTCTGCTCATAGATGTTGAGACCTAGGGCATCCACTCCCAGCCACAATTCTGAGCCTTTCTTGTTCTTGATGCTGAAGTAGTTCACACCATACATCTCCAGGTCCTGGGCAATCTTCAGATATTCTAGAACAGCATCCTCCCTAAATAAAAGATTTGGGGGGATTATAGAGGGGAGCCTGTGAATCAGACCCAGGGAGATAGTCTATCTGCTCTGCACTTTTGACAAGAATCTTGCCATTAGGGGAGGGAAAGGGGATAGAAGGTGAGCAGATGATGAAAATTAGAGCACAACATGACATTGTCAAACAAAACCTGCTGACAGGAGCCTAGGATCTGAGGTTCCCAAGGGTAACAAGGGTGGGCCGACCCTTGCCGGCCTCTGGCATGTTAGCTGCATTGAAGTATCTTAACATTCTTAGCAGAACCCAGATGGTGTGATGATGGCAAAATGATAAGATTCATTCCCCAACTAGACGACACCAAAAGATCTGCCATGTTTAGAGATCTCCTTGCCCATTTCTTTCTTGTGGAGGGATCCCTAGTACTCTAGAAGCTCCCTAGGGATCCAGAGGTCCCTTCGGTTTCTTTATGGTCAAAACTGTTTGGGCTATCAGTTGCCATCATTAAAAAAAATATAGTTTCATAATGATCCTTATTTGCCTTCTATCTCTAATTTCCCCTATAAGTTGCATTCCTGTCCCTTTCTCCCCAACATCCTCCAGTGCCCCTAGTCCTTTGTCTCTTTCGACCAAAACCTACTCTCACTCTCCCTACAAAAGCAGTAATACACATAGTTGCTAGGGTGATATTACCTGAGCATGCCCCGGTGCTCCTCATGCCACACCTGAATCCGCTCCTCCCACTGGTCCTTGTTGAGTTTATGCTGCTCTAGGACCCTAGGAAGACAACAGATAGTAGATTCAAGCACAAAACCCAAATGCAGGAGTAAATCAAGTAAAGGGAAGCCCACTTAACTTTCTGAGGGATTGATGCAAAAAAGATACAGAGCCAGCCCACTAAGATCATACTGGAAGTAGAATGAAATTGTAGCAGGAGGTATTAATCAGACACAGGGAACTGCCTGAGATGTAGGAGAAATACAAGAATGGGTGGAAAAGAAAGACAAAGGAAACACCTTCCTTTGTAGTTTTAACCAGAAAATCCAATAATATGCTGTGATTTCCAAGTAGGGCAGGAATGTATCAAGACTCTGTGCTGACTTGAGGGGTTAAGAGTAGAGATGGGCCTCATGGAGGAGGCATGACACTCTCCTAGATCCTTATGGGACAAATAGTTTTTGTTTATGAGAAAATTTCTCAGGGATGAGATTACAGCATGTCGCTCCAGAACAGAGAACTCAGCCCAAATGACTTTAGAAGAAAGAGGCTTAACTAGATCTACTGGATCTACTAGATCATAAACAAGATCTACTAGATCATAAACAAGACTTGTTTTAAATATGTCATCTCAGACATCAAAGCAGTGACTCGGGTAGAGTTCCAGAGAACAATCATTATCCCTAATACTTTCAGGTAAGTTGTGCATATGCCACAGCTCCAATGGGACTGAGGCTCCCAGAATGAAGAACTTTTTCTTCCATCCACAAGCTTAGGAAAATGGCCACTGGAAGCAGTAGGAAAAAAACCAGGGTTAAAAATTCAAAAGACTAGGGTCCCAGGTCTGGCTCTGCCTCAAATGAGCTGTAGGAGGTCTGGCAAGTCAGAGTGAGCACTCTGCTCTATTTTCTTAGCCAGGAAATAAAGATAATGCCTGCCTTATTCATGTTGTGCGTTGTTGTGATGCTAAAACAAAAATAATGTGTGTTTGAGAGCATTCAGCTTTGAAGTTTATAAAAGCAGAAAGCTCTGTGCACTGGTTATTGATATTAAAATACAGTTGGAGCTCCCCCACATCCCTGGCTTGGGTATTTCTCTGTCCCTCCTGTGAACCTCTGATACAAGAGGTCTAAATCGGTGAAAAGGATTGAAAAAAAAATGGAACTGGGGTACGAGGAGTCAATCTGTCTTTGGTAATCTATATAAGCACCTGTTTCCAGAGCAATACAATTCTGCAGTCAGGCAAAAGAAGAGAAGGAAAAAAAGCTTTTTGTTTTGACAGTCAGAGAAACAAAAGGGTATGGTGCCATATGCAAATATGTGTCTCTTATACTAACTGCCCCCAAATTTTGAGGTTAGGCTTAAGAAAGCTCCTCTTTTAACATTCCCCCAACACCATAAATTAGCAAAATAAAAACCAGTATGCATAATATGATCTTCAGAGAGACCCTAGTAGAACAGAACAGATCTGGCAGACCCTATATAACAGGGCCTGGTCAGCCACGGACCTTCTCCATGCAAGGACAGATGACCAAGGGCACCACCTCACCTCTGCGGCAGCAACTTGTCCCCAGCTAAGTAGCCAGACTTGTGGACTTCCTTATTGAAGTCACCATACTTAGACTGGACAGCATAGGAGGCCAGTAGCACAGCAGTCTCTGGTGGGCAGTAAATATCATCATTGAGAATGCCCTCCTTCACTTGCAAGAAGAACAGGCGCTGTGTGATGTCCTGGATCAATTCCTCAGACACATCCTCAGGATAGAACTTGGCCCGAAACTTGAAGAGCAGAGGGCTTTCCTTCCGCACATCCTGGGCAGTCACCTGGGAGCAGCAAGAGGTTACAGCTCTTAAAAAAATAGTCTTTGCCTGTAGGGTGGGGAGAGACACTGAAAGGTCATCAATTTGGGTAATCCTGAAGAGCCAGGTGGCAACTGTTCTGGTTAATTCAGAAAAGAGACATTTTTTTTTTTTTCACTGGGGACCCAACTCCATGCCCATAATTGCTTATTTTGGGGAATTCCTTCCTGAAATGACCTTATACCCACTGATGGTCATAAGCCTTCAAGCCACCAACATCTGGCAATATAACAACTGCCCCTAAATTTTGAGGTTAGGATTAAGAAAGCTCCTCTTTTAAGCTCCCCCCATACCACAAATTAGCAAAGTAAAAACTAGTATGTATCATTGAGGCTTAGAAATTGGCTAGGGGTGCCTGGGTGGCTCAGTGGGTTAAGCCTCTGCCTTCGGCTCGGGTCATGATCTCGGGGTCCTGGGATCGAGCCCCGCATTGGGCTCTCTGCTCAGCAGGGAGCCTGCCTCCCCCCTGCTCTCTCTCTGCCTGTTTCTCTGCCTACTTGTCATTTCTGTCTGTCAAATAAATAAATAAAAAAAAATTAAAAAAAAAAGAAATTGGCTAGACAAGAGAACAAACTAGACTCTCTTTTAAAGCCTGAAATTGGCTCTTAACAGCAACACATTTGTCCAGCAAAAGTCTCCACTCCTTGGGGAAACAAGATTCTGCCAGCTGAAGGTAAGGCACTTATCCCCTAGACACAGTCAGAAACAGAAGACACAAGACACTGGAAACCTCCAACAACAAAGTTAGGAAGTTTGAGGATATTGAGATGGAGGACTGACATATTCCTGCAGAGACACTGCTTGGAGGTGAAGAGCCTGAATGGACTTATACTCAAATCATCTCATCTGGAGTTGAACTGAGATAGAAAATCAAGAAAGAATGGGTTATAAATAGGTGATGGGTATTAAGGAAGGCGCTTTTGATGAGCACCAGGTGTTGTATGTAAGCAATGAATCACAGAATATTACACCTGAAAATAATATTGCACTGTATGCTAACTAGCTGGAATTTAAATAAGTACCTGAAGAAACTTTATTAACACATATATCTTTTTTTTTCTTCAGTCTGTTATTCTCCTTTTAACAAACCTCCTAAAGCCCTTGAGTTTGGAAGGAAAAAATAGGATGCCAATCCCCTCTTGAAAAACCATTAATGACTATGGTATAAGACAAGTCAAAATTTAAAACAGAGCTCCCAGGAAAAAGGTAAGGGTCTCTTCCTCCTTGGACACTGGCCATTCTCACTGTTAGAAGTCAAAGTGGAGACAGAGCAGGAGTTCTACCTTGGCTGAGTCCTCTGTCTTTATTCTTTTTTTTTTAAATATTTAATTTATTTATTTGACAGAGAGAGATCACAAGTAGGCGGAGAGGCAGGCAGAGAGAGAGGGGGAAGCAGGCTCCCCGCTGAGCAGAAAGCCCAATGCAGGGCTCGATCCCAGGACCCTGAGATCATGACCTGAGCCGAAGGCAGAGGCTTAACCCACTGAGCCACCCAGGTGCCCCTGTCTTTATTCTGATCAATAGACCACCCAGTGAAAAGCACAGCCTTGGATTTGCCAGCTACCACATGTTACCCACTTGAATATAAGATATGATGGAGGAATGAATTCCAAACCCAACAACTGGGTAAGAAGTTACCTTTTTATTGAGTTTCAGCCAAGTGGAGAAATTTTTAGTGTCCTGGTATTGCAGACCAAAAAACCAAACTTCCCTCAGGCCAATAGTTTTCACCACCTAGAAAAGAAAAGAAAAACATTGCTTGAATGTACAGAGGACACAAAACTGAAACTAAGATGGTCCCTGACTTCAAAAGACATAAGGTGTCCAGGGTCTGGCAAGGAAATACACTTAGGCAGTAGTCAAGAAATGATGTCAGCATCTCTCTACACAAAGTACTTTTGTTGATGTAGAGAACAGGTCTATCACTTAGGAGCACTACCACATACCAATAACTATATTCATTATCCCCTTTGATTTTCACAATAGCTCTGTGATACATTTACAATTAGGCCCATTTATAGATAGTGAAACTAAGGTTCCAAGAAGTGAAGGTTCAGTTAGTGAGTAGCAGAGTCAGGTCTGTTTGACTCCAAACCCACGAGTTTTTCAAATCCAGTGTTTACTGCCACTTCTTCCCTCTATTATGTCATGTGCCTTTCTACTCTCAGGATGAATTAAAGGCTGGAAGTAGAGAGTGTTGGCTTAATTCCTTTATCTTCTTCTCTTGGGTTACTCTTTTATCTTTAGCAACTAGAAATATGTCCACACTGTTCTGAGTCCCATTTACAATGCCCTAAGAAAGAATGTTCAGGGAGACATAGCAGGTATTGTGGTATCCATTAATCCAAAGATGTGCTGTGTCTGGGTATTGAGATGCTTCTTCCCAGCCCTGATTAGAGGCTAGTCATGATTACCTTTACCAATAGCACAGGTTGAGAATGGGAAAGAGGGTAGGAACAGGGTGAGTACCTCAGTATAGTAGCGAAGGGGCCCCTGGAGTTCTGGGCCTCTTGGCTAAGCAGTGGGTAGTAGGAAAGGGAGGCCAGCCAGGAGATGGAGATTGTTTTCCAGTCCCTGACATTAGTAATGTTAATGGTTCTGGCTGACAGCTGAACCCCAGCATGCCCACCACTGGAGATGGGAGGCAGTAAAGCTGACTCATATCTTAATGAGGTTGTGCTGATGGTTTTCGTTATTCTTTTAAAATTTTCTTCAGGGGTAGGCAAGGGAGGTAGGGGAGTGAGCCGAGGAATTTACCTGGATATAGAAATAGGAAAGGAGGACCCAATATTGCTAATGTCCTTCCTTATTAATAAATTATATCTTCCCTCAACACATACACACACATGTGCACACACACACATACACTCCTCCACTATATCTACAAAGTTCCTACTATGCACCCAAACCCAGACCCCGTAGTCATTCCTGAAGCTTACAATCTAGAGCTTCAGAGGCCCCAAGGAAAAAGTAGCTCATATCTATTAAGTACCTATTATGTAACAGGTACTGAACACTGAACAACCCTGAGATAGCTATTATCTCTATTTTATAAATGAATATACAAAGGCTTAAGAGGCAACCTGCCTAGAAGACATGACTAGATACTTTTCCATCCACATGGCTTACAGACACATGAAAAGATGTTCACCATCACTTATCAACAGGGAAATACAAATCCAAACCACAATGAGATACCACTTAACACTGGTCAGAATGGTTAAAATTAACAACACAAGAAATAATAAGTGTTGGCAAGGATGTGGAAAAAGGGGAACCCTCTTGCACTGTTGGTGGGAATGTAATGCAAACCGATGTACTCACTCTGGAGAATAGTATAGAGATTCCTCAAAAAGTTAAAAATGAAACTACACTACAATCCAGCAATTGTACTACTAGGTATCTACCCAAAGTATAAAAAATACAGATTCAAAGGGGTACATGTGCCCTGATGTTTATAGCAGCATTATCAAAATAGCCAAACTATGGAAAGAACCCAAATGTCCATTGACTGATGAGTCGATAGAGAAGATGCGGTGTGTGTGTGTGTGTACATATAATGGAATTTTACTCAATTTTTATTCAACCATCAAAAAGAATGAAATCAGGGGGAGACAAGATGGCAGGGAAGTAGGAGGAGGCGCCGTTTCAACCTGTACCCTAAAGTGAGCTGATTACCTACCAAAGAACTCCGATCACCCATGAAATCAGCCTGAGATCAGAATTATCCACGTCTGGATCTCTACAGGGGCAGAAGATGCCAGTGGGCAGGTAAAGTGGAGTGGGAACATCGGACTGATATCGGAAGATAAATAAAAGGGGGAGGGAGCCACCAGAGGCGACCCATTGGAAAGTAATACCCCTAATAAGAGAGTGCCCTGCATCTGGGGGCCAGCATTAACTTGGAGTCTGGTTGAAAGCACTCAAAAAGAGCAAAGGATCGTGGAGGGAAATTGTGGGAATCGGGGCGGTTAGGGACAGGTGCTTAAGTCCCCGAACCCAGAACAGCCTCCCCGGCACTGAGCCAGAGAGAGTGCGGCAGAGAAACCAGGTCTTGGTCCCTGAGCCGCCAGCGCACCCGAAAACATGTGGGGTCCGGCTCCTGTGAGGGACTGGGAGCCTCGCCAGACGGCAGAATGCCGCGCCCTGCTATCAGAGCCTGAGATGCGTGCGCCTCACACACTCCCCTGAGAGAGGTGTGCGCAGGTGCCAGCCCGGTGCTCTCGGACCTGGAAAGACCAGGCACTCCCAGCCCGGGCCAGCGAGAAAATCTCAGTGTGCAATCGCTGCTTGGAACCTCTCTGGTGGTCTGGAGCTGCCCAGACAGCTGCCGCTCTCGTGGTTTTGGGTACAAGCAAGAGATCCTGCATCCCCAGGGACCGCAACTCGGAACCTGCTCTGCCAGCAGCTCTGCAGCACCCATAGGGGAGCAGACTCAGGCTTCTCTCTAAGGGAAAGGTTGGGGTGCAGTTGCTTTCCTCTAAACCTACAAAAACCATCAAAAGCTATCAAGGCGAGAGAACAAATGAACAAACATAAAAACCTCCAGAGAACAAAAGCCTGAAAAACCGGTTTCCTCAGAGCCCACCCCCTTGAGGGGGGCAGGAGGACTTAACTCAGGGAACATCATTGACTGAAAACCCACGTGGCAGGCCCCTCCCCCAGAAAACCAACCATTAAAAAAAAAAAAAAAAAAGACGACAAGAGAACAACCACAACTATTTCATAGATACAACTTTTATTTTTAACTCGTTCCCACTATTCTGGTTCATTTTTTTATATAGATAATTTTTTAACCTATTTACCATCACAGTGAGATGTCCAGTATATTAAATTCCATAATAACCTCCTAACCTGAACTTTTTTATACATACACCTGTGTTTTTCTTTTGAATCTGTATTTTTTTAATTTTTTAAAAAATTTTAGTTTAGTTTAGTCTAGTTTATTCCTTTTTTATTTTTATTTTCTAATATTCATATAGAGTTAAACTTCAAGGTAACCTCCTTTCCCCAATCAATGCTACCCCTATAGGTAAACCAATTTTTTTTAATATTTTATTTATTTATTTGACATAGAGAGAGAAGCAAGAGCGAGCACAGGCAGACAGAGTGGCAGGTAGAGGCAGAGGGAGAAGTAGGCTCCCTGCCAAGCAAGGAGCCCGATGTGGGACTCGATCCCAGGACGCTGGGATCATGACCTGAGCCGAAGGCAGCCGCTTAACCAACTGAGACACCCAGGCGTCCCGGTAAACCAATTTTTAATCCCCCTTTATCTTAGGAAAGTTGAGTCCTTTAACAAAGATATCAAGATACATCCAGGAAGATTCAAAATAACCTTCCTTGCCCACACTGAGAATTTATAACCACTCTCCCATCTTTTTCTTCCGCCAGTGTTTCTGTGTATTTGTGTTTGACCTGATAATATAAAATTCTTATACTTGGGGTTCTTTTTGACTAGGTTCTTCCTTTTTTTGCTTATATATATATATATATTTTTTTTTCTCTTGTCATATGCTTTGTCAGTCTTTTTGGTTGTTTGTTTTTGTTTGGATACTTCATAAATCTTACCTTGGGGCCCATTTGGGCTGAGCCTTCTCTTTTACCTTCCCTTTTTTTCCTGTCTCTCTCTCTCTTTTTTCTTTTACTTTTTTTTTTTTTTTTAAGTTTTTTTTTTTTTGATAGCCAGAGATCACAAGTAGGCAGAGAGGCAGGCAGAGAGAGGAGGAAGCAGGCTCCCTGCAGAGCAGAGAGTCTGATGCGGGGCTCGATCCCAGGACCCTGAGATCATGACCTGAGCCAAAGGCAGAGGCTTTAACCCACTGAGCCACCCAGGCACCCCTCTTTTTTCTTTTTCTTTTCTTTTTTCTCTCATTTGGGTGGGGAATCCTGATTGCTCAGAAGAGTTCCAGGGTGCACCTTGACTGCACCACGGTCCATACATCCAGATACATCCGTTCAGTCATCTCTCACCAAAATGACTAGGAGGAGGAATGCCCAACAGAAGAAAAATACAGAGGATGGGCCTTCTGCAACAGAGCTAATGGCTGTCAACATAGACAATATGTCAGAAAGGGAATTCAGGCTAACAATTATCCAGGCAATAGCTAGGTTGGAGAAAGCCATGGATGACCAAATGGAATTGATTAGGGCAAAACTGAAAGCCACTAGGGATGATGTTCACAATGTTAGGGCAGAACTCAAAGCCACCTGGGATGATGTTCAAAATGCTCTCAATGAGTTACAAGCTAATCTAAATTCTCTCAAAACTAGGGTAACTGAGACAGAAGATAGAATTAGTGATCTGGAGGACAAACAGAGAGAAAGGATCAGGAGGAATCCTGGAACAAACAGCTTAGATGCCATGAAAACAGAATCCGGGAAATAAATGATGCCATGAAACTTTCCAACGTCAGAATTATTGGAATCTCTGAAGGGGAGGAGAAAGAAAGAAGTCTAGAAGATATAGTGGAACAAGTTGTCCATGAAAATTTTCCCAATCTCACGAATGGAACGAGCGTTCATGTACTAGAGGCAGACGGTTTCCCCCCAAGATTATAGATTTTTGAAAGTCCTCAAGATACCTAATAGTAAGAATGAAGAATTATAATTGTAGGCAGACCCTCTTGAAAGCAGCCAGGACAAAGAAGCTCCTTACGTACAGAAGAAACCCATCAGAATAATGTCATACCTGTCCACAGAGACCTGGCAAGCCAGAAAGGGCTGGCAAGATATAT